GAGAGAGAGAGAAGAAAGACGAGAGAGAGAGAGAAGAAAGACGAGAGAGAGAGAGAAGAAAGACGAGAGAGAGAGAGAAGAAAGACGAGAGAGAGAGAGAAGAAAGACGAGAGAGAGAGAAGAAAGACAGGGGAGAGAGAGAGAAGAAAGACAGGGGAGAAGAGAGACAGCAGATGTAAATGGGAGAGATGAGACAGCCAAGAGAGGGCTGATTCACACCAGTGTCTGCGTTCCAGAGTGTCTGGCCTCTAGAACGCACTGGAACACAAGTCAGCCAGCTCCCTGCGTTCAGGGGTGGGAGGGGGGATGGGGTTGTATTGAAGTCAATGGCACCGCAGCCACGCCCCCCGCCCACACCCGGAACACAGGCTGGTGTTGGTGTCTGCGTTCTAGTCCAGTGCGATCTGCAAAAATAGTGCTTGCAGCATTTTTGCAGATCGCACTGGACTGGAAAGCAGGCATTAATGTGCCCATGATCCGGTTGTGGGCGATCGCACTTCAGGCGGGGGGCGAGGCTGTGGTGCCATTGACTTCAATGCACCGCCACGCCCCTGAATGCAAGTGCTTTTTCATTGGTAGAGCTCATTGAGCTAACTTTAAAAGATCTCCAGATGCAAAATTGTGGGTGCACATCAATGCCTGCGTTTCGCTCTGGTGCCGTCACAAACAAATGCTGCATTCTCTTTTTTCTGACGGCACCGAAACGCAGGCGCACTGTTTGTGGTATGAGCTAGCCATTATTGTTCTGACGGCAACTTGAAATTTGGATTTCCTCACTTTCTATCTCTAACAAAGGTCAGAGTACAAATAAAGGAGCGAGCAAGTCTACCCAGTGGGGGTACAGACAACAATAAAAACTTAACAAAGGGTCTTGGCCTTCCTGCTCTATTATAAGATGCCTTTACATATATAGTTTGCATAGTTATAAACTTTCCATTTGAAATGTCTGATTCATGAAGGTGTCTGTTGCCCATATTTCCAAAGCTGGCTATATACATTGGGGGGGAATTTATCAAAACTGGAGCAGACAAAATCTGGAGCAGATTTGCACTGCAACCAATCACCTTCTCCGTCTCATTTTTAAATCTTACCTGAGCAAACTGAAGAGAGATGCTGATTGGTTGCCATGGGCAATTGCTCCAGCTTTTGTCTGCTCCAGTTTTGATAAATCCCCCTCATTAAGTTTCCACCTGTGGATGGACGAATCTCCCCTGCAGGCTATTCAGACAGCTAGCACCTGCAGTTGCCAAAATACCAGGACAGTGACTGCATCTGATTGATTGCTGTTCAGTCAACCTTTTTTTTTTTTTCCCCCACCCAGCTCTTGTGCTTTGTCAGGGATTGGTGAAAATCTGAGCTGTGTATGACTAGCTTAAGGAAGTATTATTAATTCTTTTTGATATGAAAGATCCATTGCATAGAACAAACCATATCTTTCCAAGTGTTTTCTCTGTCTTCATGAATATTGCTGGAAGTGCGTAGGTTCTTCAAGGGAGTTTATAGAGTTGGATTGCCTAACCCTGTCCTATTAATGTTATTTAAATACATAGATCCATGGAGAAGCTTTTTTATCTTTCATCTAAATCTGTTCTTTTTGCAAAAATATAACTACCCACTTACAAGGCTGTAGTGACTCAATAGAATTGCCACCTGTTCAGAAAATGATTTGTTTTATTAAGCTTTTACAAGTTAGATAGAATAGTCGGCTTTATGCCGTGAGTTGTGTTTACCGGTAGTATTCCCACTACCTTTTCTGGCACTTTTACGGACGTTCTTATGTATTGATTCTAAACCCCACAATAACTCATCCGTGATTGTGCTGTCTGCGTATTATTGCATCTGTTGTTCTCAGCCATCTGCTAGCAGGAGACGTGTTCGAGGAATGCAACATTTCATATATCAGCTTTTTAGAATGGAACATGACGTTGCTTGCTGACGTGTTGTTTACACAGTCAGTTCTGAATATAAGTCACCTTCACTTTCAGCATATATAACATCAAATGACTTAATAGGACTATCAAGAGAAAAATGGTAAACACCCAAGCTTAAAGTAGCCACGCGTTTGGTAAAAGTCGGAGAAATCTATGAAGTATTCTTTGAATTTAGACGTGTGCTAAACACTTTGAATCCTTTATATGAAATTTGCATGATCACAGCAGCCACATTTTTCGCTTGAATGAGGCAATAGGAGTTTTTTCTTCCTGCACTTTGTCTGCTGTGTTGTTTTGGAGGGCATGGGACTGAATACAACATGGCTTTTGCAGCTCTTAACATGGGTGGAGAATAATTAAAGTGAAACCAACCTAGACTAAATGTTTTGAAGGTACCAGCATTGCAGGAACCATTCTCTGTGGAGCCCATTTAGAGTCTAAGCTGAGGCTGTACATGGGGCCTCAACTTCTGCCCAACTCTGCCGTACTTGCGTTCATTTATCTCTAAAATGCCTGTCATTCAGGGTGCAGTAGAGGCTTTGGTGTTTACCGTTTTGAATAATGGGTTTTGGGGTAGGGGGTTATTCATGGCTTTGGCTGAAGACGATGATAACATAGGACAGATCTACTGACTTCCAGTAACATCCAGTAAGGTTCTTTGTACAAAACTAAAAAGTTTAGGCTTTTAATATCCTTTAAACAGGCCCCTCAAGTATGTATATAATATGTATGCCCCAGTGACAAAAATAATGTTTTAATGTAGCTGTTGCATTGGTAGATTGAGGTCAGCACCATTTTCTGTTTTAGAATTATTTTAATGGAATGAGACTGTGGGTTTTGGGCTTTTATTTATTTTTTTTATAAATATTCATTCAAAATGTAACAATTAACATATTTTATTAACATTTGTTTGGTACAATAAGAGTTGAACATATTGGTTCTTGTTTGAATCCTGCATAATTTTCAGAGATGTGGTACCAAGACTCTCCCAAGATTTGTTTTCCTATCATTCAAATGGTTTGGCTTCAGATATACACTGTTTTCCAGGTACGCCAGCAGCAACGCCAGCAGCTTCGGCTCCAGTTCCTGCACCAGCGCCTGTACACAGTAAACCAGTTCAGAACTCAGGTGAGTGACCTAATGGCATTTAGTGCTATAGTGCTAAACTTGTATTGTTTCTTAGTATTAATTCTCAACCCTTGATTTTGAGCGGTGATAAAGAAGTTCTAACAGGACTTTAAACGACTGTGATGGAGATTAACTCATTGCACCTACTATAAATGATTAAAATTGCATCTGATGCTTGCCAATAATTACTTGACTTTGTTTTATGGAATAAAGGCCACTGTTTTTTTTTTTGTTTTTGTTTTTTAGTTTTGTTTTAGTTTTTTTTTTTTACTGTGCACATTCAAGTGGTTCATTTGCTTCAAACCCCTAAAACATTATATATTTTCTGAAAGCCAACAGCCTGTAGATTAAAATGGTGGCAGTTTCAAATTTTTTATGTTACACGATATTTACTGGCCCCTTAGAAGCGATCCCCCTGCAGCGGAGCCACCGGAATCGCTTCTATTGTAAAGCCAGCTTTACAAAGGTAAACAGAGTCACGATAGCCAGTCCGTTTACAGGGCCATGCTGCCAATGATGTACTAGGTACGTCCGTGGCCCTGAAAGGGTTAAATAGTTGGCTGCTGTTTAACTAAACCAAAAAAAATGCACTGCCACACATGGAAATATGTATAACACGTGCACAGCTGCTCCAGATTGTGTCTGCTCCAGTTTTGATAAATTCCCGCCAATGTGTTTTGGGGAATGCGCCAGTTCGTTTTGGGAGCTCTGGCAGTGTGCGTTGTGTCACACACTGCCGGAGCTGTCACTGGTAACATTTTTGTTAAACTTTACGTGGAGTATACAATGGTACACTCAGAGTCCCCTGCCACAGTGACCTGCGGTGACATCCATGTTGTGCTATGAGCAGGGCAATTGTTTTCCATTTGTCCTTGTGGTGACCTGCGTTGATCCAGTGTTGTGAAATGCAGGTCACATGTATGTGTGAACAGGGCCTGTGTTTTGCAGAACTTTCAAAGCCTATTCAAAATAAATGGACCACATTTTACACGTGTGCCTATAATAATAAAAAGTTATGGATAGAGCAGGGATAGGCTAGAACCTCTGCCAATTTTTTTTTATTTCTCTCTGGTTCTCCATGTGGTCATATCCTATCCCTGAGACCACCATCATTGGATCAGGAATTGAGGAAAATTATCCCAATAGCGACTTGGCAGTTAAGTCTGGGCAGCTTTTAAAGGGGAAAAAAAGAATACCTTATATACTTTTATATTGCTGTGTGTCACCACTGTTACCAGTGGCCTCTGTCAATGGGACAGGAAGTTAGGGAAAACCTCTTCAGCAGGGTTACAACAGCAATAGATACATGATAGATATTTTAACCTTCATCAGTGTACCGGAACACAAAAAAAGGTTTGGGCTGAAGCTGCACTTTTAGCTCCAGTTATAGAAACTTCATTTATGGTGGTAAATAGATTCTAGTTCGTAAGAAGGTTTCTTAATTAGATATGTAAATTAATATTTGAATTCCATTTCTGGATTTATCGTGGCATTCATGGTCCTATCAAAGGATTTTGATTCTCAGAATTCTGATTTTCCTTGTATTCATCTGTATTTTATATTTGCCTGCAATTCTAAGCATTCCTTTGTTAGATATATGAGGATATAATGCCTTGTTTTGTTTTTCTATTCAACTGACTTCTGGAATGAAAAGTATGATGAATCATAGTGGACATGGTATATATTTAGAGCCCCTTTGTTAGTATTACATCACCCTTTTTCCTGTATATGGTGTTAAGCAGATCTGAGTTAAGTTAATGGGATGCCTCATAAGGCACATCACTCTATTTTGGCATGTCTAGTAATATCTGCATTGCGGACTGTACCATGATATGTGGGCTCAGTCTTCCCTCCAGACCAGACGCTTTAAAGGCTCTTGATTTTATCTTCACGATTCCTCCTGAGCCTTGTGGGTTCCATAGTTATTTTTTACTTCATTGTATTATGGAGGCTTAAAAGCTTGTGTGGTTTCTGAGTTAGGGGCTGATCACTGCAGTCAGTCACTTACATCCGCCTATACGTGTCTAATAATTCTGCATCTTTAAGTGTGTGTTTTATTTAGTCATCTTCCTTAAGAGATTTGTATGGATTTTTCTCTTACCACAGTTCCTCCTCCTTCCATGAACAGAGGAAAATCTAAATTGTTTGGTGGGGGAAGTATAGTAAGTACACCTGGTGGATCTCAAGCAAAGGTGGTGCCAATTGCCAGTCTAAACCCATACCAGTCAAAGTAAGTGAAGTGTCCGCTTTTCATGAGTGTTTTAAAGCCCAATTTTGATATTTAGGAGCCTTTTTAACATTTGATTGGATAATTTTTTGCTCGCCGTGTTAAGTTGTATTTTTACCACCACTTTTTACAAGTCGCCTGTCCTGTTATTATAAAGCTGAACTCCAGCCTTGCCTTCAGTCTTGCACAGTTGTACAGGCTCGTCTCCTGTACTGAAATTGCTTCCTCTCATTTTACTGTGCACATTGTAAGCTTCTTGGTGCGCATTAAGTTGGCCATACACCTATAGATTATCTGCAGATTTTCTATGGTCAGATGGAAAAAGTGCAACAGATTCCGCCATCTACGCTAAGCTGTGTGTATGGAGGAATCTCCCACTGGGCCAAGCTTCAGTGTCTTGCTAGTCGGCACCTCTGGCTGTCAAAACAACTGAACAATGCCTGCATCCAATCATATTGTTTAGGTATTTTGACAGCCAGCGGCGCTGACTAGCAAAATACTGAAACATGACCCAGTGGGAGATTCCTCCATCCACAGAGTTTAGCGTAGATGAAGGGATCTGTTGCACTTTTTCAATCTGCAGATAATCTGTAGGTGTATGGACAGCTTTAGAAGCTAGACCCCGCCTCATTTCCTGGATGGAGAACACCAAGTATCATCTAGTCCAGTGGTTCTCAACCTGTGGGTCGGGACCCCCTCGGGGGTCGAATGACGATTTGCCAGGGGTCGCCTAGTGGCTCTCGGCCGCCGGGAGACAAACACTTCACAATCGGGGGCCGCCGTAAGTCAGAAAAAAAAACCACCATAGGAATGCATATCTAGATTCCTATTGGCTATTTCACTTTGCAAAAGCCAATAGCAAACTAGCTATTGCACCCGCCCTCTGCTGCCAGTCAGCAGAGGGGGACCTGAAGTTCTCCATCAGGTCCCCTTCTAGTGATTGACAGCAGCAGAGGGCGGGTGCAATATGTATATATTCAAGCAAAAAAATATGTAAAACACTCCTAGCTATGCTTTCCATTTTCCCAGTCCTCAGCTGCAGAGATTGGGAAATGTCTCAGTGCCTGTGATTAGCGCTGTCAGCTTCCTGGCGGGCTCGGCATGTGGAGCTGCGAACACGCCCAAGCCCATCCCTATCAGTGACAGTATTGCGGAGTATGTACCTCATACGTTATATAGCCACACACTTTAAATCCAATTCTTCTAGTTCCAGCTGCAGAGCCCGGTCCTGTCTTTGCCTATAGCAGTGGTTCTCAACCTGTGGGTCGCTGTGCAAGGTGAGGGTCCTCCTCAGCTCTCTCCTAGCGCAGCAGTGTCAGTTCTTCTGCCACGCCTCCAGATGTCGCTGTAGCAGCCGCGCCATCCCTAAATTTTACCTTTGGGGGTCACCACAACTTGGCAAATGTTACCAAGGGGTCCTGGCCCTAGAAAGGTTGAGAACCACTGATCTAGTCCTTTCCTCTCCGAGCTTAAGTCCCCGGCACACTTTTTTTTTTTTTTTATTCATTGGATTTCAGTTCTTTGAATCATGGAGGCTCAGCATCACATGTGGGAATTACCTAGATTGCTCTTCATTCAAATACAGCCTACCTAGGAATACCCACTGCTCCAGATTGATATCTGCACAACTCCTCCAAAGAGTTAACCTATTGCTTGCTTCAGGGCAGACACCCCCTGAGACGAGTACTGAGACAGGGTGTTTTGTAATGTTTTCAGGATTATTTACACAGTACCCTACTGACCCCTTAACCATCAGTGATCTGCTTGCAATGCATAGCGAAGCACTAAAACCCAGTGATGTTGCTATACCTAAAATAAGATATGTAATCAAAAGGGAATAGGTTTTATGTAAAAATTTCATTAACATGCTGGTGGGGTATGCAAAAACATAAGCAGATTGAACTTCAGTTTTGAAGCATGGAAATAAAGACTTTGGATTGCAGTGCATGGTGTGGTAAATGATTTCTTTATATAAAAATAGGTGAAAAGTTACCCATTTATAAATGTTGAAATCTGTGAGGGAAGCACATTTCACAGTGTAAATTCTGCAGAGAAAAGCAATTACAGGTGCTAGTGTTCTCACTAGGCAGCCTAATTCTGATCCTGTTGCTCAGTAGCAGAACTGTAAAACAATGCAGGTGAAAGAATGACTTGGCACACAGGAAACTCTTATTTGCTGGAACACACTCTTATTTGCATGTCAGAATGCAGATGCATTGCAAGAGATTGCCTTTGGTGTCCTCCTTTTGGCTTTATTGGGTCTTGCATATTAGTAAACCTCTCGAGTGAAATGCAAGTGTTGCCAAGCTCGCTCCCTTGATGGACTACAATCTAAATATAAATGACTAAACTAAACATGAGATTGTGGCCCACCACAGGAGAGAGCTTGAATTGGTGGCTACTTTACAACACACACAGGGACCAGGGGGAACAAAAGTAGCCACCATCCAAAAGGAAGGACAGAGTCCTCATGAATTCAGAGATGATTGGAGGATCTACAGCCGAGTGATACACAAATAAGATGCATTTTTGTTAATAGTTAGGGTACTTGATAATTAAAGTTTAGTGTCACTTTAAGGCTGTGTTTGTGACAAAATGATTGCATTAATAGCAATGAAAAAATGCAGGTAAAAAAAATGCAGGTAACCATACTAAATATTCAGCATACAGGACTTTTCCCAATCCCACTGCAATGCAACACGTTGATGTGAAGAGGTCCTGTTAAAAACAGTTTTATTTCCCTCTCTGGTGGCTCCTACGTTCCGTTCCCTTCGTTCCAGCAATGCACCCACCACCAGTGTTTTCAGCATTTGGCACTTCCTGGGAGTTGCCTGCTACATGGTATGGTTCTATCCTCTGACCCCTAGTTCACTACAGGACACAGCATTGAAGTAGGGTTCGGATGAAGGAGCCACATCACTGGCGAAGTACACAGACGTCCAACACTCGGTCTTAAATGCTGAAAAGACTGGCAGAGGCTGCAGTGTTGGAATGAATGGAGTAAGAGACACTGGCTGGCCGAGACGCAAGTATGCTACCTTTTTTTCTTTTGCAGGCAACATCTGGCTGCCTTTTTGTTTAGAACTTGAAACGGTCTTTTTAAGAGTTTGAATATTTACATTGAAGATGTTGGCTTATAATGTGGCAGCTTATATCTATGTGATTCAGTAGTATTGCAGGGCGGCTTTTTACTATAGCAGAAAAAACATCTACATTCTTATGTATGTTAAAATAACAGAATGATGTTGTGCAGATTACAGTAGCTCAATGCAAACAAACAAATGGCACTAGTTATTGGTTTTGAGGATTGAGAAGAATGGACGCTGGGTGCTGAACTTTCCATATAGATTTTTGCCTTAAATAAAAAACTTTAACCTTGATTGCTGCCTGGTCATCTTTGTTAATTTTCTCTAGACTGAATATCTTTCATTTCCTCTGCCCAAACGAGCCATTTTGCAATCAGAATAATGTGACCTACTCTGCCCACTCATTTCCCAGCAAAAACATTAATGTAGCACATATTATCTGCACATTAGCCCATTTCCACTGTGGTAGTTTAAATGTAAACCTTGTCTTGAATATTGGATTTTCTTCTAGAGCGCAGGCTGTGGTGCTTTAGAGAAGGGAGTGTTTTGCAGGTTACTAGCAATTGATTAGATTTGTTGGCTGTGCTAAAATCTGTAAAAGCTTCCTGTGGTACCGCACACTTATTGCTGTGCTTTTAAATTCACTGCTCTATCCCATCATTAAACTCCTTATGCCAGCAAGTCGCCCCCCTCCCCTACTGTATTCTTCTGTTTATAATAATCTTTATATGGCTGACTTTAAGTTCTGACAGGTTTGAGTAGCTTTTGTGTGGCTGTTACTGACTGAACTCTAACATACATGCTTTGTTTCCAGGTGGACTATACGTGCTCGAGTTACCAACAAAGGTCAAATTCGTACTTGGAGTAACTCTCGTGGGGAAGGGAAGCTTTTTTCTATTGAGATGGTGGATGAGAGTGTAAGTGACTATCCACAATGGTTTCTCTACTTGATCACGTTTGAGGCACTTTAAAACTCCACATATGTTAAAGTAAAAAGAAAAACACTCGCATACATTGCAAGGATTTAAGTAAACTTCTCTGCAAAGGTTTTTTTTGGTGCTCCTCAGACAAGGCTCCCCAGAACTTTCCTGAAAATCATTAGTGAATGAGCATCTCACTGCATCTGTAAAGTAGCAATGTTATCACCCTAGGCTGCTCTCCTGATTTGGAATAAAAAATACCCCCCCCCTCACTACTCATTGGTATAGAAGGGGGTATTCTGAAGTTCACAGATAGCTGGAAAGGCTAAGAACATTGTATTAAAAGTGTTGCTGGCACGATCACCAGGTAAAAAAAAAAATGGGGGGGGGGACTAATGCAGCCACCACGTCTAAGGACCATTAAATTGCAATATATTAAATTTTCTTTGTTTTATATATGCTAAAAGAAAAGGAGATTTTTCGGGGTGTTGTGCCAGGGTGGCCCCATTCTAAAATTAGATTCCCCGCCCCAGCATTGATTGGAGTGTATAAATGTCACCAGCACTCCAGAGTGTTGGTGACATTTATACACAACGATTTGACTTGATAGTGCGCCATCCGTAGTCATTGCGAGCACCCATTTTTTCATATGGGAAGTCCGGTAAGGTGTGCTACAGGTCCTTGGACATTTGTAGCATTGATTGGAGGACACAGCCTTTTTTGTTCGTCGTTTGGGTGTAGTTGCAGGGGTGTGGAATATCTTTTTCCCTTCTCCCGGGACATGCAGTTCCGGGCCTCGGGCAGTTGATTTTTTTTTTTTTTACATTTAGCCCTGCTTCAGGTAAGAGCTAAATGTAGAGCGATAGAGACACAGTGCGTTTTCTACAAGTGATCTAAACCCTAAGGTCCGTCCTTTCCCCCGTCGTAGCTCCTGACACCTGCCCCCAACATCCGGTCTCTGATGTGCTCTGTGTTATTTGTGACGCAGTAGCTTGTTAGCCCTTGTGTGATAGCCTGATGCACCTCAGCTGCTTTGGTCTCTGATACCAGTCAGTTTTTTTTCAGTATGCTCATTTTTGATCAGCTGTAGCTATAAGATTTGTTGTTCCCCTACTTTTTGTCTCAAGTGTCCTCCATTTCAGGCTCTTACAGTGTTTAATTACCCTTGTAAATGCCTGTAGCATTTGCAAGTAATGGCCCATTTTAAACTTTCTTTGTTAGTGGTTTTCTCATTCCCTTTTATACAGCTGTTTGGGTTCAGTTACTGTTCTTGCCCTGTCACAATACATACTTGTTTTGGGGCCACTGTGGGTATGCCTCTTCATGATTTCTTGTTTTCTGCAGTGTGGTGGCTACTCAATGTAGTATCTTAACTTGGAATGTTCGAGGTATGGGTTTCCCTTTTGGAACTTACGCAAATACTTACTACTCTTAATAATGTAATGGCTAGCATTGTGTGCCTTCAGGAGACGCATCTGATGGGGGACACTGTCTATTTTACGGAGGTGTGGCTCCTTTGGATGTGTGATTCTTGCCACACTTCATATTCCAGAGGTGTATCACTTTTGGTTCCTAAAACTGTAATGTGGGACTGTATCCGATCGGTCATTGATTGGGAAGGCAGATTTGTTTTTGTTTATGCCAAACTCTACTCTGTTCCTGTGGTGATTATGGGGATATATAACCCTCCACTGCCTGAATGTTATCAAGGCAGCTATTTCCTTCCAAGCTAAGTATCATGAAGCAGGTGTTAGCTGGACCAAGATGGTCTGCCTTTTGAGGTATATTGTTCATAGATGGACATTCTGGCTCCAGTCCTCAAATATTTGTTGGATGACTTCATGTGTCCATCCACCTTTTTTTTTTTTTGTAAATTTTTTTTTATTGTAGTGTAAGCACATGACGCTTGAATAGCTTCAGCCAGGAAATAACAGTTGCCAGTGGCAAGATTCCACAGATGGCAGGCAGCTAAATGTTAGTACAGCAGGTAGTGTGCTGGTGCAAATTGCAATAGCCATATTGCATTTCAAATTGCAATAGCCAATAGCAGCCTTGCTATTGCACCCGCCCACTGCTTGCTGTGCCCTCCTCCCACCGTGGAGGAGAGAGAGCTAGGGGATCCAACCAACTAATTGATAGTGAGATTATATGACCCGGCTTCCTGATTGGCTAGGAAGCCGTCTTCACATGTTGCTAGGCAGGCTGGCTTCCTAACCAATCAGGAAGCTGGGCGGCACATCATGAGCCACCTTCCGGCTTCCTGATTGGCTAGGAAGCCGTCTTCACATGTTGCTAGGCAGGCTGGCTTCCTAACCAATCAGGAAGCTGGGCGGCACATCATGAGCCACCTTCCGGCTTCCTGATTGGCTAGGAAGCCGTCTTCACATGTTGCTAGGCAGGCTGGCTTCCTAACCAATCAGGAAGCTGGGCGGCACATCATGAGCCACCTTCCGGCTTCCTGATTGGGCAGGAAGCCAGGCTGCCTAGCTACAAGTGAAGCCAGCTTCCAAGCCAACCGGGAATTATTATTATACAGGCTTTACATAGTGCCAACAGTTTGCGCAGCGCTTTATAATATAAGGAAGACCTTACAATCAATACAATTCAAGACAAGATGGTAAGGTAAGGCTCATTTTTTGAAAGGTTGAGGTTTAAGAAGTGTTGTGACATCCAGACCGATATCTCAGTTAGTAGATTAGTGACACACAAGGACACTGAGGGGGTGAGTTGTGGAGTAGAAAGATATATTTGAGTGTCATTGGCATAGAGATGGTATTGAAAGCCATGCCGGGTATTAACTGACAGAGAGAGGATGTGTAGATAGAGAAGAGAAGGGGTCCATGGACAGAGCCTTGGGGGACCCCCACAAAGAGGAAGACGAGGGTAGGAGTTAGATTTGTAGGCGGCACTAAAGGAGCACCTAGCTAGGTAGGAGGAGAACCATGAGAGAGCAGAGTCTTGTAGGCCAAGCGAATGGAGTTTTTTGAGGAGGAGCAGGTGATCAACCGTGTCAAAAGCAGCAGAAAGGTCTAATAGCAAGAGTAAGGAGTAGTGGCCATTGTTTTTAGCAGTTAGTAAGTCATTCGTGAGTTTTTTAGGTGGGCGGTTTCAGTGGAGTGTAGGGGGCGAAAGCCAGACTGTAAGGGGTCGAGAAGGTTGTTATCAGCGAGGTGGCGGCTCAGGCGGCTGTAGATAAGGCGTTCTAGAAGTTTGGCAATGAATGGGAGTAAGGAGATTGGTCTGAGATTGTTGAGGTCGGTAGGGTCCAGTGAGGGTTTTTTGTTTATTGGGGTGAACAGGGCATGCTTTAGAGGGGAGGGAAAGATGCCAGTAGAGTGAAAGATTGAAAATGTGAGTAAGAGGGTGTCCGAAGTAGTACTGAGGGACTAGGTTCCAGGGGGCATAGAAAAGCTTTGTAACCTCCTCTGTGGTGACAGGATCAAAAGAGAAAAGTAACAAGTGTGATGGTGGGTCTGGTACATTAATAGTGGAGGATGACTGGACAGTGGCGATGTGATCCTGAATTGTTTCTGTTTTGTTTTTGAAAGGAATGGCAATTTCAAAAACAAAATGAATGGCAATGTCCTGGGCAGTTAGTGGGTGGTGGCAGTGGAGGACATAGTAGAGACTTAAAGGTAGAAAAGAGTTGACGTGGTCTGAATGAAAATGTGTTAATGAGAGTGACAAAATAAGTCTGTTTGGGAGTCGGGTCTTGACATGCCGCCCGACTTGCTGATTGGCTAGGAAGCCTGGCATGGGGCACCAATATTGGTAAAACAAACCGTATCTGTGCATCCCTACTATTCTCATTGATTATTATTATTATTATAGCTCTAATTATTGGTTGCAGCCCTACAGCTACCTTAAAAAAAAAAAAAATTCCAGCTGAACAATAGTATGCTAGTAGACTGACTGATGACAAATAAGTATATAGTTAAATTTCTCTCTTTTATTTTAAATATAGGTATGTCTGGAAATCATTGTAGCTATGCATATATTGCTGATAGTTGATTGCCTGACATTCCATCATCCTTTTTATATTCATGGCTCCTTCTCTTTGCAGCTATTTTGCACACGTTTCTTTCCTGGAAAGCTGGACAGTACTATGCAGCTTTTTGAAAGCAGGATGTGTAATTAAAGCCCGTCCATAACTTAGACTTAGCTGTCCTATGTACAAAATATAAATGACGCTAGTTTGTATCCTAAACCTTCTCTAATAATTTTGCAAGCTTCTTTTCCTGTTTTCTCCCCGATTTCAAGTTTGCCCTCCTAACCTCATTACAGATGCACAGGACTCGTCATGCTTTCTATTCTCGGTCGCTCAATAGAAAAGCGAAGTGACTAAAATGTTTTCATGTGCAGATGTTGTTTCTCTGATGCGAGAACAAAAATCTGTTATCAAATAATTAGCTCTCCTTGCCCTGGGTATAGAGGGGGTGGATGAGTCATCCCAGAGCCTGGGCAGCAACTGCAAGTAGTGACATCTTTGTCATCAAATTAGGTACAAAGCACACTGTAGCCCACACATCACGTGCTTTTTTTTCAGCTAATTAGTTAATCATCCTGATTTATTACTAACTAGAGGCATATTGTTTTTTATAAATTGGGAACTGGCCTATTGACAATCGTTTTCCCAAGTCAAATAGTCACTGTCCTGCATGTGATCTGTAATATTCAGGGCCAGTAAAGTCAGCCAGGCAGCCAAATAACTCATACAAAGAGTTTGTTGTAGTTGATGTGCAAGATAATGATCCAAAACACACATTTAAAAAACTGCCAATAGTAATGTTTTGGTGGAGGTTATCATTGCCTTACAATGCCACTAGCTCACAAATCCATTCTTCAAGGTGCTTGCTTATTTTAAGATGGCTTGCAAAGCATTCCTTGGTAACCACCAGTACAGCAGGTTCACTGTAGTTGTGCACAGGATTGTAAAAAAAACACTTTACGTGATCTTTCTCTTGCTGTCTCTTGCCTGTTTTCTATCTTCGTTCTGGCAAGATTCAAAACGCCTTTAACTTGAATTTTATTTTTTCAGGGTGAGATCCGAGCTACCGGTTTCAACGAGCAAGTTGACAAGTTTTTCTCCCTTATTGAAGTGAATAAGGTATTTCATTATCTCGCACCTAATCAGCCTTTAGTTTTGGTTCACACATAAGCGTAGTGGAGGACATGGTAAATATCAGACAACAGGTTTTTTTTTGGGGGGGGGTCTTGACAGTTGCTTTAAAGAGCTCTATTCTGAACAAACACTTTTGGATTATTTCTAGCAGCTAAGTTATTTTGATCTCTGATAACCTAATAACTATTCTGTCTCGGTTTCTGTCTAAAGCTGGGAGTCCTGCTTATATGTAGATCAGCAGCTGGTCAAAGGGCACGCATCAGTTAATACTTGCAATTGTATTGTTCAGTTTGTTTATTTAGTCTTTTTATTTTAAAAGCATTTTATATCATTACAATTTTAAAAACTGACCAGCAAAAGTGACTGATTGGTTGAGACAAACCGGAACACTGTAACTTGTACTGGGGAAGTATGGATACTACCTTTGCTGAATTGCTGATCCAGCTAATGAGCTCTGACATTCCTCATCTGCAAGTTTGTTGGATGGCATCTCCGGAAGCATCGAAGCCAAAGTTGGAAAGGCAGCTAGCATTCTCAGAATGGGGTCAGCAATAGCAGTGTCTATATTTCTCTCAGTAAATTATTTCATAAATATATTTTATTCTAAGAATAGGCATGACATAGTGACTGATTCTTCTTTTACTGGCCATAATAATCTCTTCAATGTGACTCTGATTTTGTTTATCTGCCTTGCCTCAGGAACTAATCACTGTGCACCCACTATTCACCGATTTTTATTATGCCTGTGATCCATAAGGTTGCTTTCATTGGATAGCGTGCTTGCAGGCAGGTGATGATTGGCATGTTGGGATGGGGCCTAACCCAAAACTACTGTTATTGGTGAACACCTAATGGTACCTGGTCTTGGTTATTATGTCTACTTGCAAAGGTTTAAAGTGTCCGATATGAAGGTTGGATAATCGTACCCTCTTACTGGTTTTATTTGGCTTGTATTTTGTTTAATGACCAAGCATTGTCTTATTTATCTAGGTATATTACTTCTCAAAAGGAACTTTAAAGATTGCTAACAAACAGTACACAGCTGTAAAGAACGACTATGAAATGACGTTCAATAGTGAAACTTCTGTTATCCCGTGTGATGATGACTCTGATGTCCCAACGGTGCAGTTTGAATTTGTTCCCGTTTCTGAGCTGGAAAACAGAAATAAGGACACACTACTAGGTTGGTTATTAATATTGGTGGCTGCTAGGCAGCTTCTAGCTATGCCAAGCATTCATTAACCTGCCTTTTGTCATTTTAGATGTTATTGGAATTTGCAAGAGTTTTGACGATGTCACCAAGGTGACTATAAAATCCAACAACCGTGAAGTCTCCAAGCGAAATATTCATTTAATGGACACAACGGGCAAGGTGGTAACAACTACTTTGTGGGGTGAAGATGTAAGTATCTTGTGGGTTTTTTGTTTTGTTTTTTAAATGTCCTTTAATTTTGAAGAGACCCCTTCTAGAAATAATAAAATAGTATCCTAGAATAAGTCTAAGCTAGGATTTGGTTACAGAAATTTAAAACGAATTGATAACGAGTAAAAGTATGGGAGCAACCTGAAAAAAAGAAAAATAATGTGGTTAGTTGGTGTATTAAGTCCCTAACCCAACACGCCCCCCCTAACAACAAAAATGTCTGCGGTTTCTTAAGCCCTGTGCCAGTGTCCATACATTACCATGCATTTAATTTGGTGCATTTACCAACTTGCTTACTAAATCATAAATAGTTGATAGTGTTGGTTCTCTATGGCTCTGTATCTTTCCATAAAGAAGCTCTTTTACCATTACCCGGGCTAGTGCCACCAAACAAAAATATTGCGGGACTTTAGGCTGTTCTGTTATCAGTTCAGAGGAAGAAAACACAAACGCATTTCCTCATGCTTGTGAGAAATGAATGTGCACAGAGTTTCTTAAACCTGGTTTGGAACTTGCTTGCTGCCATTTCCTATATATGTGATAATAAGATATTTTGTAATGGTCAATAAAATAACATGCTGCGTGTTCGTGGTAAAACTGGCAACTTGAGGCTGTAACCGTATCCAGAATGTTGTGGGAGGCATATGACAAGTGTGTTTTTCTGTCACACTGTAGGCTGGAAGGGCATTATACCAATTGCAGCATATTGTTTGTTTATAAATGCTTTAACACTGCATTTCATCCCCGTATTTAGTATTTTAACTTGCCACTTTTTCTTTTCCTCTTCTCCTAAACAGGCAGATAAATTTGATGGCTCCAGACAACCTGTTGTGGCAATCAAAGGAGCACGGCTGTCAGACTTTGGAGGGCGGTCTTTGTCAGTCTTGTCATCTAGTACTGTCATGATCAATCCAGATATTCCTGAGGCGTTCAAGCTCAGAGGATGGTAGGCCATGGATTGTGATGTTACAGTGGCCAGTCAAGAGTGTTTAGCAAAGCGTGAAGCCATAACAGAACATGCCTGTACATCACTAGACTCGTAAAACATTTCCACATTTAGGCACTAGTGGGCACTCTGGCAATGCCAAATGTTGGAATACAGCACTTGCAGGCTTTTAACCTGTTTGGTACTGGAAAAATGTCTGTGTAATGATTTCCCAAAGCTAGCACATCAAATCCTAGCTGAAGGTAAAATTGCAAGTCTTGCATTTAAGAGACTCAGAACAGAAGCATACATTACCATTCCTAGGAGTCCCTTGACTGGTTCTTTTCTAGTCCTTGCTATCTGTATGAATTCCTTTAAGTTATGTAGTACCATGGGATGGCTGAGGAACTTGTCCTGTTTCTTAACTATGTTACTAAAGATGCCTTCCATACATTTAATATCTATAAAGCTCTGTGTTCGTTGTATAAAAATGTATGCTTAGATTGATGCAATTCTAACCCTACATACTTTCATATACATATATATTTCGTTCAAAGGGATATCTGCATACATGCTGAGAAGGTATGCATAATGAAAACCTGTTTCTGCTCATAGCAGTTTATGAAACACTGCTCTTTGCCTTGCTTGTGTGGCAGCGGAGATCAATCTGCACTAAAACCAATGCTGAGCTGCAGTAGAATTTATCTGCTTAGCATGGGAAAACTCATTGCGATTTTCAGTTTACAAGCTGCAGTTTGTTTTTTTTTAAACTCCCATGCTGTGTCAACCTAAGGAAGGCCTAGATTTTTATTTTCCATCGCACCCATTTCTATTTCTAAGGGTAGTTTGCAACTGTCTATGACTGGAAATGATCTTATAGACTCGTCACGACTTATTAATATTAGACTTGAATTGTTTGTGGCCTGACCTCATTTGGAAATAGATTTTTCTATGCATTTTGAAGAACTTTGAGGACACAAATCATTCTACTATGGCTGAAGGAGTAAGCAAGCTTCAAATGTACTAATAAGGTTTCCTTGAATTGCTAAAGATTCTAGGAAGTCTAAGAATACAGGAAATCATTTTCTATTTACTACAGTATATGCTCCTTTTAGGGAGATGTTTCTGGCATTTTTCCTTTACAACTGAGAAACGCTTAAGATTAGGGTTAGAGAATGTGTCGGGACAATTGTTTTCTACCTGGCATAAAAGGTACCATTCCCTGATTGCCAGAAGCCAGGCAAGTTAGTTTGCTAATGGAGCACTCCTCTGCCATGTCATGATATGCCCATACTGCTTCTTGCATCGCTTTTGTCGATCCGGCAACCTCCAATGTTGTATGGGAGCCTTGCCTCTGTCAGTCAACAGCTGTTCTGACATGTTCTGTTGAAACATGGATTTGTTTTTGTTTTTTGATGTAATAAATTCATATGTTTAAAGGTTTGATTCAGAGGGCCAGGTACTAGAAGGTACATCCATCTCAGAGTCTCGTGGAAGTGGAGGAGGAGGAAATACCAACTGGAAGTCCTTGCTGGAGGTGAAGAATGAGAATTTGGGCCATGGTGACAAAGTAAGTCTTCTAAACTAAGCCTCTGTTCTTATACCTACCCTTCACTATGAAGTAGTTTCGTTTTTGGGATAGGCATCCGTGGCATACCAGATTAGTCTTTTAGTTGTATATAACTAAGTATGTTATGTCACTAAATAGTTGTATTTGATACACATTTTTACCTGTACTTTCTACATCTGCCTATTGAATATCTGTTCAGTCCCTGGTTCTCTGGTGTGGAACTACTGCATTCATAGTCGGCGTCTTTTCAAAACGCTGCTCACAAAATAGCCACGTGAGCCTCTGAGATGGACATATTTGCAGTTTCTGCCATTCTGTTCTCTCAAGTGTAGGCGCAATTTGCGCATTAAAATAAAAAGTAAAATACAGTGTGAAGAAAAGGAATGTAAATTGTACCTATAAAACCCCTTTAGGAATATCGCAAAACCAGCCATTATTGAAATGGCCTTAATCGTCTCTCTCCAGATTCCTAGGGTAAAATATATCTTGTGTTCAAGGGCATGCAACATTCCACCCACAGATCAAAAGGAGAGGAGAAGCAAAACTGCTTTTGCTTGCAGACGCTGTTCAGCCTGAGAAAGCGATGCAATTAATTTTCTGAGAAATATTCTGCCCTAGTAGTTCATTTGAGTTAATGGAGCCCAAGAGCAGAGTCTAGGATGTGTACATGGGTCGAGAAGTAAACAGGTTTACCATTAGCTTTGACCTTTTATGTTAGATGTATGGTCTTGATGTTTGTGCATATTTTGATCTTGAGAATGCTGTAGATTCACAGAATGTCTTGTCCCTTGCAGGCTGATTATTTTACCAGTGTTGCTACTATTGTGTATCTTCGGAAGGAGAACTGCCTGTATCAGGCCTGCCCTTCACAGGACTGCAATAAGAAGGTCATAGACCAGCAGAACGGCCTCTATCGCTGTGAGAAGTGTGACAAGGAATTTCCCAACTTTAAGTATCGCCTCATTCTTTCAGTGAGTACATCTCTGTTTTAAGATTGGGACAATCTAAGAGAACAAGTCAATGACTTCAGTGTGCTGATTCTCCTTTACTGTACAGCAATACAAATACATACATGGGATAGATAGAATGTCTGCTGTGTCTTCAATTTGGCCAGGATGAGGATTTGTAAACTTAGATTAAAGGTTGTGCAAAGGAGGGCGAAAAGTACAGTCTATATATCCTTTTGGTTTTAGGTCTGCATTATATGGCTGAATGGAACCTCTCTCCCTTTTTATAATTAGACTTTTAAAATTCCTTATTGTGACTTTATTGGAGTTAAGGATCAGTTACTGTGAAAGGAAGTGTTCCCTAACACACAATAAATACCTTACAGATGGTTCTAATGTCTCTTAAAATAAAATTCTTACCTTTCACCGCAATCCAAAACTTCAAAAATAAAACATAGAGGTCAACTTTTTGCTTACTACTATTAATTATCGCTGTCATAGCCAGACAACCAAGGCCACATTTTTCTGTTTTGCAATATTTTAGTTTTTGATAACCATCTTTGTCACAGTTAGAATTTTTTTTTTCCTTTTTTTTTTTTTTTGTTATCCTGGAAAATCTTTGCAGTGATTACAGACTTCTTTTCCTTTTAGATTTTGCCAGTCCTGCCCCAGCCCCCTTTCACTATCCTGTTCTGTCACTGTAGTATTACATGCACATTAACATATGGTAATTTGTGTGTTTAGCATGAGCTGCTAACAAATGCCAATGGGAAAACAAACTGATCCTACGCTATTTTTTCCTTCTTTCCCCAATGCAGCACTTTATACACATTAAGTGCATGTTGTGCAGTGCAGTGCAGGTCTGCTGGCACTTGTGTGTTAAGCTGTAATTCAAACTAAAAACATGCTTTACTGTTACACATATGTCTGAAAGGTTCCTAATGTTACAGTATTTAATTGTAGCTAGTAATGATTAGTGAAGTGTGTGGTCAGCAGTATCTGAGGACAAATCAGACCTGTTCAGTCTCTTGACATGATTACTTTAACCTTTTAGAATAATATCTCTTCATTTCCAAAATTTGTTTAGCAGCATAGCAAAATGATGGTTTGTTTTGAGCATTTAGTGCAATATCTAAATGACTGCCTTTTAAAGAGCCTTGAGTAGCATCTCCAATAAAAGTGGCACGCTTGTGTAGTCTCCTTTACTGCTCTGGGACTGGCAGTTTAACTAAATTCCATTCCTATTCCAGTGCAAAGTAACTGCTGAACGATCTTGTTTAAATACGGCTCACTCGCTCTGTCATTGATCCAAAATCTGAGATATAAAGCTCAAATCTCCTGCCAAGTTTTTCCTCTGAGAAGTCTTTGTACTTGTATAAAGACCACAAAACTGAATCTGCGCTGTATTAGTACAGATGTCCATACTGTGTCTTTGTGAAGCTCAATTATCAAACAGCTTGTTCTATGCACAAACACTATAATTTCTAACAGTTCCATTTTTTTTGTCTCTTGTTGCTAAATTATGCTGTTTTTGCTGATAGCATTGGCTTTGAAAGAGGTTACTTATCACTTCTTGTTTATAGGTTGGCATGGCTCCCTTTTTAAAAGCAGAGATTAGCCAAGCATTATGAAGATAAATGAACAGTAAATGTTTGTAGAGAGATGAAATTGCACCCAGGGCCTGGGGGCTTTTGTTTAGTCCTTTTTTCGGGAGCCATGCCATGCACCTACTGCATTAGTGGCGCCTGCTTCAAAAGCCAAGCCTATTTCTGCCTGTGTCTGTGAGATGAATTTATATGTCGGAGTGCAATGATAATTCGAGCTCCTGTAAAAGCCTGCCAGTTCTCCACATGTGGCCTCGCCACTTCCATACAAGTACTCGTTGGCCCTGACCCGATAGGGAGACCGCGCTTCTTTCTTCTCGCAGGCTCATTATATTCATCAGCCCTAGGCAGCTGTGACGACTTACAATCAAGCTGTTTAATGCCGGTCAAAATCCCTAGCGATCTCAAATGGCGGGAGGATGGTGTGAAACGTCTAAATAACAGGCTGTTGCTGAGTTTTCGAAGCAAACGCCGGTTGTGTTTATTTGCCTTGACTAGTGATCCTTCTTGCCCTGCTCCGGGCATTTGTCAAAAGCCAAACTTGAGCGCCCTTATCTTTGAACCTGCTTTGGGCTGTGGCGATAGCATATGCTATGTAGTTGCAGCTCTCACAATAATCAACAGTGTCAGGAGTTCTATTAGAAAAAATCCATCTCATGCAGGTGGCTGCGTTTGCCTGTCTATCAGAGGTGAAACTCTGAACTTTTGAATGAAGCAGTTTCCTTTCCCTACCCCATCAACAATTTTACGCTATAGGATTTGTCATCTAATTTTTCTTCAGAATACATTGTTTCCTTGCAGCCTTGGTGGATTTTGGTTTAGGTGACACTTTTTTGGATTCCATATTCTGTTATGCTGGATTCCTTGTACAGCCCTGTTATTGGAGGGCTGCTCAAGGAAACATGTTTTGAGAGAAATATGTAGGCTGCCATTGCTGAACTTACTTGAAAATGCTAGTTGGCTGGCTCTAAGGCCTTGGTGGGTCATGACCCAAAAGTGGGTCGCTACCCCATGTTCAGTGCGTCGCCGCATGCCTTACACTTTTTTAGGTGAGAGGCTCCTCAGCCTCCCCCTAGCACAGCACTGTCAGTTCTCGCACCAAGCAGCCATTCAAAATAGGCTGCCTGGTGCCCAGTGTTAGCTTGAGGTGGGATAGGATGGGGCTATGGCCGCGAGGGCGCTCCATCCATATGTGCATTGCTTACAGCTCTCTCATGTTTCCTGTAGAGGTGCCTGTACTGGAGTGACGACATATTCTGGCTCCAGGCACCTCTACAGGGCATGCGAGTGAGCTGTACAAGCAATTAACTTATTGGATTGAGCTCTGTCAGCACAGCAACCCACACTGGACCACAGGTTAAGTATCCACTACAGTTGTCCTAATGTAGGGAGACTGGGTGGACCTTTTAAAAAAATAGATTTTTTTTAAATGTACGTTTTGTTGTTTTTTTTGGGAGTGTGTGTGAGATTGTGTCTGTGGTTGTGTATGTATGTCAGTGTTTTGACGGCCCGTTCACACTAGTACAGCGCAGTAATTGCACAGTCCCACGCAATCACACCTACTACACTGTCGTAGACAGAATTAAATTTGATACCACACCTAACCTTTTTTCTTCTAGGATAGGTGTGGTATCGAATTTATTTCTGTCTACGACCTACACGTTCTGGTGTGGGAAGTATGTTGCGCTGCCATTTATTTGAATGGTACCCCAAATGCACCACCCACAGTTCGATCGCCCGCACGGTACCGCAATGCTGTGCATTTCAAGGATAAATGGGGGTCATGAGGTTAGTCTTGGGCTGCTCTAGTGGCTTTTAGTTCTTTTAGGACATCATCCCAGAATGTGTGCCAATCAGGGAATCTGACATCTTCGTAATTTTCTTTATTGTATGCTTGTTGCAGGTTAGTAATTCATAGTATTGTAACTAGGTAGCTTGCATTTTTAATTGTCAGCAGTAGGTGTGTATGTATTTCCCAGTTTTGTTTTATTTACAATAAATAAAGCTGTTTTTAATAGAAAAAAAATGTAATTTCTGGTTATGTTGCAGGCAAACATTGCTGACTTTGGGGAGAATCAGTGGATTACATGCTTCCAGGAAGCGGCTGAATCAATTATTGGCCAGAATGCCATGTACCTGGGCGAACTCAAGGAAAAGGTTTGGCTTTTTTTTATTAAAGGTTATATAAAGGTGGAATACTTTTATTTACAGACCAGATCAGTCTGGGAAAGAGTTAGTAAGGACATGGGTCGATGGGCTTTGAACGTGTGTTAATGGCACCAGTATGAGCCACTTCTGAGATGATTCAGAATTCATTGACAGGTGCTTAAATATGCTTATGCTTAAAATGCAGGTAGCCATCCTCTGCACAACAAGCCTCCCCAAGTGTTTCTCTTATTCACAGTCCACAGAGACAGGGCCTACTGGGTGCCATGCAGCCTCTTCACATAAGTCTCCTGACTGGTACATGCATGTGCAAAATACCAATTATACTGCACATGCTTGGCCTGGCATGAGTTCATTCTATGCATGTGTTAAGTTAGGTTGGAATAAAAAAAAAGGATCACTATATTTTAACAATACATAACAAATTCAAATGTATCTCTGCCTTAAAACTCAGTTTTCATATTTCCGAGATCAGTGCAGATAAATGCAGAAGTTACTTTTTAAAAGAGCAGCATCCAGCATAAAATGATATGACCTGGGAGTCTGTTATGCAAATTGATATCTTTAAAAATATATTGTTTACTGTTTTACCTGCCATATAATTGTGTTCATACAGTTTACACACATATGCCAGATTTCACAGCGGAGTCTGAGACGCACATTCCCTGGGTTCACAATTTTAGCTTGTATCATCGCCTTTCTATTTCCGGCTTGTTCATTGGATCATCACCATTACTTCCATCCATTTAGAAGAGGAGTGATTCAAGAAGCAGTAAGGCCAAACCAGGGGGATAGTATTGATCGCTCTGCTGTGTAGTATGGCATAGATGTGGAAATCGCAAGGCTGGCTGAAGAGAATTTAAAATCCTCTGGCATTTTCAACAGTAATTGTATATGTATTGGAACAATCTGTTTTGCTGTTTGAAATTCCACTTAAAGGTTAAGTTTATCTTTTTTTTACCAAATAAAATGAAAAGGTAGCTCACAACACCTTCCTTAACCCACCTTTGCCCGCTGTACTTATCTGCAATGACCATCACCTGCTATGCATACCAGCCCATAAAACTGTCCTAGAATTGCAAACATCACTACGCAGTCCCCGAGGTTGTATAGCAACCTAATGCTTGCCGAAAAGATGCTGATGCTTTTACATGTTGCTTTGGCCATCTCCAAGGTTTTGTCTCTATCTTTATGAATGTTTCGATACCCTTATCTCTCCAGAGGGAAGAAAAGTACTCTTTGTTGCTTTTCGATTAAACAATCTTTGAGTGCCACCACTTAGAGCGAACACATTATTTGAATAAATTCCCTTCAGTAAATGAGAACAGGACTTCCCTGATGGCTGCTAAGCTGTTTTGACACGTTTTAAAGGTGCCGGTAGTTAATGGATGAAGGGAGACATTGTCCTGACAGATGCTTGGTGTTGCTCCTTCTGAATTTGTCCTTCCCTCTTTATTGTCTATGCAGAATGAACAAGCTTTCGAGGAGGTGTTTCAGAATGCCAATTTCCGCTCCTACACCTTTAAAATTCGGGTGAAGTTGGAAACGTACAACGTATGTATGACTCCCCCTTACACACACACACACACACACACACACACACACCATAAAATATATATTTGATAATCTGTCAATTTTTTTATTGTCTGTGTCCCCATTTAAGTGTTTTTTTTCTTTTTTCTTTTTTCTGTTTTATTGCTATTGGACAGAATAGGATGTGAAGCCAAATCCTCCCAGTAGTGACACAGCGGTAAAACACCGTTATTAGTAGAGTTAGGAGGATTTAGAAGTTCAGTTAATGCCCCTTTGAGGGAGATTCCCCTTCATTTTCTGTCCCGGTGATAGGCTCTATGGAGTCATGGGCAGGCTTTATGGAGGCATAGGCAACATTTTAAACAGAAAGATCTAATCCTTCCCCACTGTATTCAGAAGTTAAAAAAATAGGTTTTGGCTGCAGTTGGGCTTTAGCCTTTCCCAATCCTCTGCAATTCAATGTAAGCATATAAAGCCAAATGTGTGAATCAAAGGTTACTTTCATCTTTAGTGAAAACCACATGCCAGAATGAACACTAGATCCTGGGCTGAAGCTATATGAAAAACTTAACTTTTCTTGGGAAAATGGAGCACAGTTCTGTCCTGAAACCATCTGGGCCTTTCAGGTGCTTGAATTTTGAAGCAGTGGACCTTTATTTCTTAAAATGGTCTTAAGAAGTTATTCTTGGCATAAGAGAGATTGTTCTTAAGATTATTTATATAAGTTTAGTCAAATATAGTAACACATTTACAGATGTGCTAATACAACACATGAATAGTTCTTTAATGGTTAGTTTTATAAACCAAAGATGTCAACTATTCTGTCAAATATGAGATATAGGAAAGCATTCCTATCTCCTAACTCTTTTGAACCATGTCATTGGGTATGACGAAATTTAAAAATCTCAGTTTTAATATTTAACAATGACTGTCTAATAAATCCATAATTCATAATGCTACCATTATGAGTAATGCTAAGCATGGCTTTGAACATGTATTGTCCTTGTATAGCAAAATAGTTAAACTTCCTATACAAATTAATTCCAGGAAAGGCCACCTAACATTAGCATAGCGTTCCAGCTTCACATTCTTGGTACATGTGTGGGTTGAGCCTAATGTTCCAGCTTGCTACAAGTTACAAATATGTGTGTTTGGTTTTTTACCCAGTTGTTTTTTTTTTGGCATCCAAGATTTATTTTAATTGCTTTCATGTGTAGTGCCACCTACTCCAATACTTTTAGAAAGAAAGCTGTTTAGGTGGCATTATATGAACTAACACAGTTGGCTTGTCTACATAGCAGTGACTAGTATTTTGGCTCAGGGCTGCTGATCTTAAAATGAATTGGTGAGCTTCTGTTGTGCTTGAATCACAAAGTCGCAGCTCTGTATAAAAATGATTTTCATGTAATTGTATTTAGAAGCTTTTTGCATAGTAGTGCTTTCTTGGGTTTAGCAGTAGGTAAGCAGCCAAAGATAAAATAAACAAGTCACTTTTTGCTATGGTGTGCTCAAGAAGCCAATCCTACTTTTGTGTTGCCTGGCCTTGCTTTTTTTTGTTATGATTTACTTCTGAATTGGTTTGAGCTGCTTCTGCATTTACATTGACTTGTAGAAAAGCAGAGCAGGCACCGTGCAGTGCACAAAGCAGTGTGTTGTTTTTTTTTTTTCTGTTTTTGCTCTTTTCTCCCTTGTGTATATTGCAGTGTTTAAAGTGTGTGGGATATTAATTGCTTTTTGGTGTACATTATGGCTTCTGGTAGTTAGGTTGCATGTGTAGAATAGTTTTCTGTAAATAATTTTTCTGCTACCAGTGATTAGTGATGGGCTCGGGCGTGTTCGCAAGTGCCTCATGCCGAGTCCGCCAGGAAGCTGTCAGCGCAAAGGGCCAATCACAGGCACTGAGACATTTCCCGATCTCTGCAGCTGCGGACCGGGAACATGTCTCAGTGCCTGTGATTGGCCTTGTGCGCTGACAGCTTCCTGGCGGGCTCGGCACAAGGCGCTTGCAAACACGCCCGAGCCCATTACTACCAGTGATAGGCTCTAGAGTTCCCGTGGGTATCGCAATATCCATCTGTTACTGCAGTGGATGTAGATTCTCTGAAGGAAGAGTATGGAGATGTAAGTAGTGGAAGCATATGAAAAACCTTTAGGGATAGAGGAAATTAGGTGCATTCTAATTTCCAGCAGAAAAGTAGTGGCAGTATGGAAGCATTGTATGTGTGTAACCTCATAGGGAATACCACCAAATTCAAGCTCTTTTCAGTGGTGTTGAGCCATTGAAGAGACCTTGGATTTGGTGGTATTTGTTATGTGACTGCTATCAGTCTTCTGAACTCCCCCTGGATGTTATAATGGTACAAGTAGGGGGCACACTATCTGGGGATAAACCAACTCGAATATAAATCTGATACTCTGACACTGCAGAGTTTGTGAAAAGAGTGCATAAGTGACCAGAGCATGGGAACACACTTGGGTAAGATACGTTTTATTCATCATACTGTATATCAGAGGTACAGTGTGAGTTCATGAGCCACATTCAATTGCAAAACATCTTCATTTAGCAGTAGCACGGTGAAGTCTTTAATATTAAAAATTGTAATGCAATTATTTAAATTAGTCAACCTATAATTAGTTTCAGGCTTAGTGAAGTGTATAATGCATCAAGTGCTTAGAAATACAGGTACTGTGCACCTGTTTGGGATGCTGCCTTGAGCAACACCAGAGAGAGCTGACAGAGTGCTGTTTAGAGACTAGAGCATCAAGTCTTTTAGTATACTGCAGTGATTTTAAGTAAAATGAAATGGTTGCTCTTTGCAACAAGCTTTATGCTCAGATCTTATGTTATTAGATAAAGCATCTGAACATCGTGTGTTTTGTGTCAGTAAGCTTAAAGGGATATCCACATTAAAAGTAAATCCCCCATCTGTTACAATCTGTGGAAAAAGACATATGACAGTTAAGTTTAACCTCAGCCTCTTTGTAATACCACATACAAGTTCCACTTTATGCGGCTTTAATCCTGGCTGTACACGTAACAGTGTGATCGCTTGACAGTATGACCGTTTTGAAGAAATTAATTGCATTGAATGATAGTTTCAATTGAAACAGTAAGTCCTAGAGAAAAATCCAATTCCATGTGACCAGTTGGATTTTCCTCGTGTTTAAAATTATTGAATCTATCTAGTTATTTATAGGGGCAAGTATGGCCAGCATTGTTCCATCTGCTGGTAAAATCTGGTATTGTGGTACGTCCTTCAAATACAGTTGTGCCATGTAATTACTGTTGAAGTCAAAACCATTTTTTTAAAATTGACACTCCCTTTTCTTCCCTGATTCAGAGGTCAGATGCCTTACTAAGTCAGCGCAGCTTACCTATCTCAGGTTATTCTGCTGAGTGGGTGCAAAGGACTCCACACTTCCAGCCAGCTCTGTGGCCGGAACATACTAAACTGATCCTCTGTCACTGAGGCAGCAGGGAGTCCAGTGATGCGCACAGTCACATCGACAGTAACCCTTCCAAGGGCATGTTTCTCAAGTACCCTTGTGGGATTCCTCTCGCACGCACACAGAAAGGTGAATCGCAAGCACTGCAGGCCTTTACAGCTTGCAATCCACTCACAGCGCCAGGGGGTGCTTCCCAAAAGCCTTGTAAGGGTCCTGACACCGATAGCTTGGATCACTATTCCTTGATGGCACTCCTTTTGTGCTCACATTGTTGCCCTCCTGTATGTTTCCCAGTGTCTGTGGGATCTTAACCTGCATCTGTTGACTCTCCAGAAACCATCCTTTAATTCTATCAGTGATATTCCCCTGTCGATTCTCAGTCACAAGATAATGTTCCTGTGCTCAAGGTCCCTAATGATGAGCAGTTGTAAACCCTCTTTAGAACTCTGTTCTCTCTAGCTAGCCCTCCCCTTTACCATATTCTGACCTCTAAATCAAGGCAGAGTGGTCAAAATTCCTTAAGAGAGATCTGCACTGCAGCAATGGATCCTTCTTTGAAAGAGTGTGTGGAACAGATTGCTAGAGCTGTAGACTTCAGCTGTGATGGCCTGTTTGAAGAATCTTGGCTTGTCTCTCACATTGGTCTTTTATCAATACATGTGTAGAACAGTCTGGTTAAAGTGTTTGCCTGTGGACCCGGCATCCAAGGAGCACCCGATCCACATGGTTTCCAATGTGCAACATCTCTTTGGACTTGTCCATGATATAAAAAATGTCACTGGAGGCAAGGACTCCCACCTTGCTCAACATAAGAAGCCTAGGGAAAGATCTGCAAAAGTCTTCACCCTTTTGTTCCAGGCAATAGGTGTTACATCTCTGGATCATCCCCCTGCAAGTCATGTGATCTGGATGGCGGCATGCTTCACCAACAAGGAGTAGCAGGTGATCTTGCTGCAATTAGAGGTAGTTTGGGTAGAACTTCATGTTCTAGTCCTGTTTGCAGAGGTTTGGACAATTTGGTGTACGGGCTTCCTTATCTGGTTAAATCTGGACTTGGGGGAACCACCTATACACCTGATTGCGCTTCGGGGACTGCTTTTCAGGTGGGGGTGCCAGATATGGTTCCCCTGATATCCTGGTTCAACTTCATGCTGAACAGATTTGTCCCAGGTGTAGGAATTTTCTAGCGGTAGCAGTGGATACTCTGGTGACTACATGGAATCTCTAAGCTTTTCCTCCTACCACCGCTTCTCCATATCTACTCCGTAGACTCGAGATGGAGGGCTTTCTGTGGGTCTTCCTTGCTCTTCACCAAACGAATGTACTTTTTTGAACAGATAAGGCTGACTGTTGCTCTGTAGACTCTTAAGAGCTCGTTCGATTTGGGGAATCAGGAGCATCTCTAACTCTGTGATTCTTATGATGCTTAAGGATATAAAGAGTATTTCAGCAAGGTCTTATGTGGGGCTTTGCCCCAGGGTTGTTTTCCCCTACTTGCAGGTTGGTTAGACTAGAGCTTGGCTCTCATCTCTATCTAGTCTGGATTCTACCTTGCTATTTTGGTTAAGAATATAAACCTTTTTATCTCTTTCCCCCTTTTGTCCCTTATGACTCTGTGAGGTCAAATCTTTGGATCCCTTGGAATTTTCAGGAACCATTATTTGTACTTCTAATTCGACCTTGAGGCAAAGTGCTTCAGAGCTGGAGACCAGGTCCCAGAATTAAGAAGCACTTCTTATTGGTTAGGTTGGTCATGTGACTGTGCTGACCAATAAGAACTCGCTATTTGCGAGCATTAGGCTCATTATGCACTGCAGGGCTTTAACCGTACACCGGCCGGTAGGGGCATCACATAGGTATGTGTGTTGGGAGCTGGGAGAAGTGTGGGGTGGTGTCTGTAAGTTTTTCTTTTTTGTTATTTTGTGAGAAAGTGAATTTACCCTTTAAGGCCCAACTCTTTTGAATCAGTCTGACTCACAGTAGGTTTGCACCTACTGTTGCTCTGCTATATTTGTTAAAGCTCAGCACTCATTCTCTTATTCCATGTGAGAATAAATGCTCTGTGCCCTTATGAGACTTCCAGTATCTTGCCCATTGCTTTCAATTAACCTGCAAACCATTATTTTAGGTGTGTGGTGAGGTAATTGTGCTCTTGTTGGGATTACATTACAAAATGAGACCTGCGTTTCACAAAACAGTGTAATATAATAAGTGGGCTGAGCTATACATCAATTATACCTACCAAACTGTGCTGCTACAACTCCCATGTGCTGACACAAAAGCCTTTATTTTATAACATGCCTACTAGTTATGTGGCTCCCACTGCTCTCTTGTTAAGTCTCTGGTTTAAAACAAAGTGCTTCTCAACTACACATTAAATGTGAACAATCTGGGCTCTTGCGTGTTTTATGTGATGTATAATTTTTGCAGGTTCAAATTCATTTTCCATTCTGTTTGTGAAGTTGATTATTGAATATTTGCAGCCTAAGTATATCGTTAACGGAGCAATCTGGCATCCTGAAGAGCTGCAGAATATAATTCTCCTATTAACATTTGACCTATTTAAAGATTTACATTGAGTGTGGCATGAAGCTATATAATAATGTGAGTTGCTTTTAACATACAGGTTGCATTTTCATTTTATGTTACTGCTTTAGAAGCATCTCTTGCTTTGGCTAGCAAAAATGAAAATTCATGCCAGCGGTAAGGGGTTAGAAATAATAAAGTAAGCTTTTTTTTTTTTAAGAACAGAATAGTGAAAGCTTTTTCTCACTGTCTGTCTATGTTCAAACAATGTATTTTTTTAATTGCTGAAATTCCACTTTATAACGAAAAGATGACTGTTCTATCTCCCTGTTAACGTGTAATAACTGGTAGCTCTAGTGCAGTGGTGGCGAACCTATGGCACGCGTGCCAGGGAGGGCACGCAAGGCCCTTTCTGCTGGCACGCGAGCCAAGGTTCAGGCACCACAACATTAGGGCAGCCGAGCTGTCTAATGTCGGCAGGTGGACGAGCGAGCAAGAGGACAAGGGGGACAGAGCGGCAGGGGGTGGAGACAGAGGGAGATGGGGCGGAGATGAGAGGACGGGAGGATACGGGGGACTGAGCTGCATGAGACAGGGGGCGGAGACAGAGTGAGATCGAGGCTGCGATGAAGAGACTTGGACGTCAAAAAGTATTAAACAGGAAGGGGTGGGGTAAATTTAGTGGGGGTGGGGGCGCCCACGTTTTTGCCTTGCCTAGGGCAGCCCCAATACACCACTGCGTTCAGGGACCAGCAATTGAAATAGATCCGACTGACCCGATCGCCTTGGTATGCGATCCGGGCCAGTCACAATTAGGTAGCGGCAGCCAATAAACAGGTAGGTTAGACGGCTGCTTCCTCCTCGGGAGGCCCCCGCATGCGGCCGTCTAATCTGCCTGTTTAGGGGTCACCGCCGCTGCCTGATTGTGACCGGCCCGACTACAGAGGCGATCCGGGACGTTCGGGTCCCCCGTGAGAGCCGTACAAGGCAGTAAGGCAGTGATGTTGAACGTTTCTTAAACCTGAGCGCCCAAACTGCAATACTAAACTTAGTTTCAGCGCTGGCACTTTGAGATAAATTGATTTTGCGTCGCAGTTTGGGCACTCGGGTTCAAAATGGTTCGCCATCACTGCTCTAGTGGAATAGAAGTTAATATTAACCAGTAATTATAATGCTGCATAACAGTACTATGAAGTACTGGTTTGCACTTTTCATAACTTCTTGCTGCCTAGGCCTTTACCACTTTCTGAACATATGTACCAAAGTACTGGCCAGCCATGTGGAGGGTGAGAGTAGAGTATATACTGGCATCCTCTGATTGGATAACCCCAGCACCAATTTTTTCTACAAGCCAGTACCTTTTCTAGTAGAAAAGAGTACCCTTAACACTAGGCTTATAAATATAGTTTAATCGGAAAAATGCAAATACATATTTTTTGTAATACTATCTAGCGCTAGAGTGACCAGATTAAATTTTTTGTGCCTTGTCCAACCTCTGCCCAATAGCCTGAAATGTTCTGTAGCTAAAAACATTACTCCTGCCGTGTAATAGTCTGTGGGAATTCAGATTAGCAGTCAACAAACTAGTAAAGTGTCCTTGCTGGTTAGCAGTTATCAATTTGCAGGGGTTGCATCTCACTAATGCATAGGAAACCAGGCCCAAACTGCCTTACACATATACATATTAAACAAATTTTTACTTCTGCTACTATTTTTCACAAGTTTACTTCAAAGGAAATGTGTACTAAGACAAATGTGTAGACTACTTCTTAAAGTAAACCTACTATGAAAGAAATACAGGCATTGGCATTGCTGAAATACTTGCTTGGCTGTTCTGCTGACCCACTGGCTACAATACTGGCTACACTGACCTAGAACAAGTATGCTGATTAGGAAAGCAAGCATATCTTTTCCAAATGATGGACCTGGTGCACTGAAGCCACAGGAGGAGCCAGTTAAATGCAGTTTTCTTAAGGTCCCACTCCATTACAGGTTTACTTTATGTACCGTCTGAGTCATTAATCCAAAACAAATATGCTGATCAAGAGCTCTGCTGGCTGCATGCTTGTTTTGGTCACTGGGTCAACCAAGCAGCTAGTATTTTCAGGTTTCATATATTGTAAAAAAAAAAAAAAAAGAGAGAAATTACAATTCTGTCCAGTATTGTTTTTATTTTAGAGTGTTATCAATATTTTAAAAAGAGATCAGTGAAAGTCTGCACCCCAATTAAAGATATTCCGGTATACGTTGGAACTTCCTAATTCTTTCTTTGTGGACCTTCCTTTTTCTTCTACAGGATGAATCTCGTATCAAAGCCACAGCTATGGATGTGAAACCAGTTGATCACAAGGAATACTCAAGACGCCTTATAATGAACATCCGGAAACTGGCTGCTCAAGGAGTCTGAGGTATCGCCTTCAGAGACCTATCACCTCAAGAAGAGACAGTCTTCCTATGTGTACATTGTAAAACTGTAGAAATAAAGCTGAAGAGTCCCTTCAAGATGCAGAAAGCCCCGTCAGTCCTGTCACCTTTATTATTTGCCATGGGTTACCCTCCTTCTAAATTGCTGTTGTTTATTTCCACATGCTACAGCTGTTACTAGAACACCTTTGCGGGTTGCACTTGTTTCCAAAACCTAATACTACTGCAGGTAACCAAGCACTGTGACCTTGGTACTTTCCCCTACATCTACTGTACATATGTTTAATTATAACTCAAATGTTCCTAAGTAAGCTTTCCTCTTTTTATGCAAATTCATAAGAAAGCCTAATTACATTAAAACAGGACTTAATTAGCATCCTCAGAAGTAATTGGTTGCTGCTGAGAAGTCAGATGCCCACCCAGAACCATGTTTTAACATACTGAATAGTTCTATAAGCCGATGGCTAATCGGGGGGCTTCATCTCCCTGTGTGAAGACCAGGAGCTTATTGCTGTCGCTGAGCGCCTCTGCTTGCAGTAAGGAGATGTACCATACAGTTTGCAAATGCTTGGAATGACAATATGGAGGAATTATTAATCAAAGACCTATCTTTTCTATCTGAAGACTTTCCTTCGGGGTTTAATAGACTGAGTCAGATGGTCCTGATATTAATCAAAATTGTCTCTTCTGAGAAGCTCTGATAAGCATTGACTCTCCGGCCCCTGGGGAAATCTGGCCAACTACAAAGCTTTGCTTTATTTTTCATTTAAATTAATATTGTGCTTTCTTACTCTCCTCTTTTTTTTCTGACAGTGTGTAATTGCAGAAGTTTGCTGTTTGTACATTCACAGCATTTCTCAATGTTTTCAGTTGCTTTGTGTTTCTCTCTTCCCCCCCCTCCCCCTTTTTTGTAATGGAATTAATCAGCACTGTTATGTAGGAGAAAATGCTCCTTTTTTATTTTCAGAGTTCAATAAAGTTTAGGATTTTTTTTTTTGCACGTGTGTTTTTTTTTTCCCCCCGTACACCCGTTTCATCTGAAAAGCAATCAATTTTCTCTTAAAAGGTGCTGCCAAAATGAGGCAGGCAAAGCTGACATTTCCCAGTCTTATTACCATTTGCTGCTCTAAGATATGATTCTCAGCTTCCACTGTTTTAAAAAAGCTGAGGCAGCACCTTTTTTTATGCTTTTATTGACATGTGCACAACCCTCGGAAAACAAGCAGGATTTAGCATTTGCCAAGAAACCTGTAATTCTGCCTAGTGGGATGCTTTAACCCTTTCGCTGCCAAGGACGTATGGCATACGGACCTACAAAAGTGCTTCCAGCTGGCCAGCTCCGTATGCCATACGGACCTGGCATTTACAGTTCTACTATAAGCTGATGGTCGCTTATTGAGTGCTGGGACTGCAGAAAAAGAAATTGAGGACTTATGTCCTCAATTTCTTTTTCTATTTCAAAAGGGAAATGTCAGGGGTCTATTTAGACCCCAGATATTTCGCTGCAGCCCCCAGAAACAGTAAAAAAATAAAAAATTATTAAAAAATAAATAGAAAATGTAAAAAAAATAAAAATGTAAAAAATAAAAAAATGTGTACAAAAAAAATAATAAAAAGCACAACCCCTCCCTCCCCCCACATAACATACACATATTGAGGTGTACGCCATGCGCTGCAGTGCGTTGTTAGAACGCA